TTTTTCGAGTTACTTGATAAAGATTGTATGTTAATGTTACATGTCATTGGAAAAATAGTTTGAAGGTGTTAGAGCGTCGAAACAAATGCACATTAACCGACCGTGAACAGATAAATGGGCCTGTTTCTTCTCGGACAGATAACTTGGCAGGATGTCGCGGCCGCGACGGACGTTGCTCCCGCGATAGTGAGGTTTTTTTTAATTATAACGTTGTACAATCGTGAAGGTCGAGAGGTAGAAGCAAAAAAGAGAGCGAAGGTCGAGAGAGAGAGAGAGATGTCGCGAGAGAGGAGGGGATTGAGAGAATGTGGGCGTCGAGTTTTTTTTTCAGTTGGAAGAAGACAAATAGAACTGAGGGCGAGGTCGTCGAAGAAGAAGAAAGCGAGTGAGGGCGAAATTGAAGAAGGAAGAAGAAAGTGAAGCAGAAGAAGGACGAAGAAGAAAGCCACAGAGAGAGAGAGCCAGGGAGCCTGCGAAAGTGATGAAGAAGAAATTGAAGGTAGATTAAATTTTGTGTTAAGGGTATATTTGTAAATGACTATTTAATCTGATTACTTATTAAGTTTTATTGTAAAACTTCAGTCAAGGGTCATTTTAACATTTTGTATAAGTTTTATTGTAAAACTTCAGTCAAGGGTCATTTTAACATTTTGTATAGTAGAAAGGGTTACTTGGAACAATTCCCACGCCCTAAGATAGAGGCAGATTTCTGGTTCTCGATAATTACCAGCTGCGTCGCCGGCTAATCACAGCACCTTGGCTTGTTCAACATTATATGCCATCATGGTATGCTTTGTTTGAATTTGATTTTTCCTTCTTCCATGTATGGATTTTTTCTCCGTTGTATTAATTTATGGAATTAGTTGAAAATTTGAAATCTTCTGGATTCTTGATCGGTTTGTTTGTGACCTGGATCGGTGAATTCGAATCCCTTTTTTCTTTTTTCTATTGTAGATGAGTGGTGGTTTTCTGGGGTTTTCAGTTTTTTGTCGTGGGTGAAATCTGAAATTTGGGCAAAGGGTTTTGGTCCCTGATCTGATTGTTTGTGCGTTTATTTATTTGATTGTTTTCATTGAGCTAAGTTGCAAGTCTGGTGTTTGAGTGATTATCATTTTGTTGACGTTTCGTGGAGATCAGCAGTCTGGATCTGTATGGGCTAGTGTGAGCTTAGTTGTGAAGGCTGTAATTTTCTGGCACAAGAAAGAAAATCTTGTGGAGCTAGTTTCTGTTGTACAGGGTTTAGTTTAATTGTAAAATGTGAATAATGACTTCAATGCAAGGGTGGAAAATTTTGAGGATTCCTTTGGCCGAGATTGAGAAATGGACCGAGTGATTCACATGCAAGATGTAGTTTTGCCAACATGTTATGTCTTAAGGTGTTCAGATTACTAGTTTTTTTCTCTAATTTGAATTATGTTTGTATACCCATAGTTTGTACAGATGGCAGCCCTCATCTTCATTTTCCTACTGTTTCCTTATGTAGTTTACAGCTTACTAACCTGATCTTGGGGTCTCAGTTTCTTCTATCATTATTTGCTGCTAATTTCTGTGTCCATTTGAGAAGAAACAAAATAAACTTCCTTATACTATATCTCCAGGACCCAAAGTTACACTTTTATAACCCCATTTCATCTTATTGTCCACACAGGCACCCATAAAGAGCATTCTTTCCCTGCGAAGAGCTTCTGTTATCCTCCGCTCGCAAGAGAACCATCCTCTAGCAACAAGACTGCTCAGCACACAAGCATCAACCACTCCTCCCACCCCACAAGCCCCTCCTCCACCCCCACCTCCCGAGAAAACCCACTTTGGCGGCCTCAAAGACGAAGACCGAATCTTCACAAACCTCTACGGCCTTCACGACCCTTTTCTCAAGGGCGCCATGAAAAGAGGCGACTGGCACCGGACCAAAGACCTTGTCCTCAAAGGCACCGACTGGATAGTCAACGAGATGAAGAAATCCGGCCTCCGAGGCCGTGGTGGCGCCGGATTTCCATCCGGGCTCAAATGGTCCTTCATGCCCAAAACTTCCGACGGCCGTCCGTCATACCTCGTCGTGAACGCCGACGAGAGCGAGCCCGGGACTTGCAAGGATCGTGAAATCATGCGACACGATCCACACAAGCTGTTAGAAGGCTGCTTGATAGCTGGCATGGGAATGCGTGCTCGTGCAGCTTACATCTACATACGCGGCGAGTACGTGAACGAGAGGATTAACCTCGTGAGGGCTCGCCAGGAAGCGTATGAAGCCGGACTTCTCGGAAAAAACGCTTGCGGCTCGGGTTACGATTTTGATGTGCACATTCATTTCGGTGCCGGGGCTTACATATGCGGCGAGGAGACTGCTCTCCTCGAGAGCCTCGAGGGCAAACAGGGAAAACCGAGGCTTAAGCCTCCTTTCCCGGCGAACGCGGGCCTCTACGGCTGCCCGACAACTGTCACGAATGTCGAGACGGTCGCAGTCTCGCCTACGATCCTGAGGCGCGGGCCTGAGTGGTTTTCCAGCTTCGGGAGGAAAAACAATTCTGGGACTAAGCTGTTCTGCATCTCGGGGCACGTGAACAAGCCGTGCACGGTTGAAGAAGAGATGAGTATTCCGTTGAAGGAGCTTCTCGAGAGGCACTGCGGTGGGGTCCGCGGGGGTTGGGATAATCTGCTGGCGGTTATACCGGGAGGCTCGTCTGTCCCTTTGCTCCCGAAACATGTGTGTGAGGATGTGTTGATGGATTTCGATGCGCTCAAGGCCGTGCAGTCGGGTTTGGGGACTGCGGCTGTGATTGTGATGGACAAATCGACTGATGTTGTGGATGCAATTGCTCGGCTGTCGTATTTCTACAAGCATGAGAGCTGTGGGCAGTGCACGCCATGCAGGGAAGGTACGGGATGGCTGTGGATGATTATGGAGAGGATGAAGGTTGGGAATGCAAAATTGGAGGAGATTGATATGCTGCATGAGGTGACGAAGCAGATAGAGGGGCACACGATTTGTGCGCTTGGGGATGCAGCTGCCTGGCCGGTGCAGGGGCTTATTAGGCATTTTAGGCCAGAGCTCGAGAGGAGGATCAGAGAGCGGGCAGATAGGGAGCTGCAGCAGGTGGCCGCTGCTTGATTCGTCTGAAATGAAAAAGGTTTGGACGGTAGAGTAGCAAAGTGTTCTTGTATGTTGGATTTACTTTTATTTTCTTGTTTTTTTTTTCCAGGTATGAACTCTGCCCTTAAGGTTTAGTTTTAATCACGAAATGAATCCAGTTTTTACTATCTATTATTGATTCAGTCGGTTCTAGCGAAATTGAGAAAAACTATAGCTCAGACTCGTGCAGTAACATTATTTTCAATTTCAGTAGGACGATAGATCACAGATATTGCTAAGACAGTGTATAATGTTATGCTTAAGATATCCAGTTATTTTGTAAGGGAAAAATATTCCTTGAATATCTCCTAGGTCAACGTGATCCTCCATTTAGAAAAGGTGTCTGTGATTTGAAAGAGAATCAAATAGATTATTCTAAAATAACAAATAAATTAGTAGGGCTATTGACATAGTTGTTTTTGTATTTATTGCTCTACTTTTTATCAGGGACTTAAATTTGCTTTGAATTCAAGGATCATCTCCATGAGATTCTTGTTTGATGCATTTTTTAGGCCCAGATTGTTAAACCTAATTAAGCTGGTGTTATATCTGGACAGTCTCATGTGCTTAGCTGACTAGAGTATTTTGGCAATCCGGGGTATCATTATTAATAGAAAACAACATCCGTTGAGGATGTTTTGTATGATTTTATTTTTTTTCAATTATGTCAGCTTGGGACTAAAAGGCTATGTTGTTGTTGTTGTATTTCATGAGTTGTGCGAAGTTATCAAGCTGACAAATTTTCTGTTAGCCTTATAATTGTACATCTTGCTATTATATTTTGACACCTCTCGTTTTGTAGGGAGCTGTATACACTGTTAGATTCCTTTGAATAAAGTGGACACACATTTCGGATCCATTTTCTCTGCTGCAAGTTCAGCTTTTGACGCTGGCATGTGGATGAACTAAGATTCTAATTCCGATATGTTTTATAGTTTGACTGGTTTATGTAAAACGGTTTAAGATGGAAATTCGCCTCATCAGGAATATTTTTTCCCCTTGAATGACTTTTTCAGTCTGTCTTTTTTGCTGTATTGTTGATGATAACCTTTTGAATCTGTTTATGTTTAATAATAATGTGTACCATTACAGTTCTTCCTTTGTTGGCTAGAGCAAATGTAGACTGAATATTTGTTGTATTGCTGTGTTGGAGATTTTTATTTTATTTTAGTTTCAATTGTCTATATTGTTCAACTTCAAGAAAATGGGCCTTGCATCAATTGCCTTTCACAAGTTTTATGTGTGAAAACAGAGGAACTATCAGATTGTGCCCAATGACTACTAAAGTTGTGTCTTTTTTTCTTTTCTGAGAGAGGGTTTTTATAGTAAANAACAGTTATGTATAGGGTCAAATATTCACATATTGTGTTGATACTGGTGTCATATTTTTGTCTCATATTTAATTATAGTTTTGAAGTTTATGCCTTTTCTTAGTGGTCTCATATTTTCATCTCATATTTAGTTATAGTTTTGGAGTAGTTTTGGAGTTCATGATGAGAAAACCTTTTCTGAGAGAGGGTTTTTATAGTAAAAGAATAATGATAGATGATGAACAATACTGAGACATGTTCATCTCATTCAATTAGTGTCGACATGTATGAAAGTTCATTATCAAACTCATTTTATATTTTATTGAATCAAAACTAAAAATACTTATGTGATTTTTACCAGTGTCTTTTGACCCAAAACGGACCCAACTCCAAGTCAACAGCACGCAATCTAGCAAAACCTGGGGCGACTCGACCAGAGCATTGATTCTGTCGAGTTTGATTCGATAATTTTTTTCTTTAAATATATTATAAACTAATAAATTATATATACTTTTAAAATTTTTAAATTAAATTAATTGTCAGATTAAAAAATTGACCTTATGACTCGATGGTTGAGTCGGTCTCTGGCGGCCTACCAGGGTCATTAACCGGTGCGGGGTTCAAACATCGGTTTGTCTTTTACAAGTATATATACATGATCTTTTAGCCCATCAAAGGTATATATCTTATTGGGCCAATTTCCCGTTTCATGTGGGCTCACGAGGAGCCCATCTAATTTATATTCTTCTCCTGAATTGTGTAATGTATTGCAGGAAAATGTCTTCCTCTTTCTTTGTACTTTTCACACTTCCAGAAAATTCCTCCGATTAAAGTTTCATCCTCTGCAATTCTTCTGCTTAAACTGCATAAATCAGGTAACAAGACAAACTCCTCAGTTGATTTTATGCATTGCTATGGTTTTATTTCTAACGTATGCTACGATTGGGGTTTAAGCTCCATGGTCTAGCATTGAAATCAACTCTGTAGTTTGAAATTAGGCCTTCTTTTTTTTGGACCCGACGAATGCTGCAAACTTTGATCGACTTTGATTGAACCAGAACTGTACTGTGTTTGTTTGTTTGTTTGTTTTTTTTTTTTTTTTTTTTT